ACTCAAGTTGATTTAAAACTTTGGCAAAGTAGCAGGGTATAAAATTAACCCCCAAAAATCAATGGTTTTTCTGTATGCCAACAATGGGTAAAGTGTTGTGAAATTAGGAAAGCAACTCCATTTGTAATAGCCCCACAAAAAAATAAAATACCTAGGAATTAACTTAACCAAAGAAGTGAAGGACCTCAATGATGAAAACTTTAAAAACGAAAAAGGAAATCAAAACAGAACTTAGAAGTGGCAAAAACTCCCATGCTCCTGGATTGGAAAGATCATCATCGTGAAAATGGCAATACTTCCCAAGGCTATCTACGAATTCAATGCAACACCTATCGAAATTCCCATCTCATTCTTCAAAGAAATAGAAGAGGCAATCCAAAAAGTCATATGGAACAATAAAAGAACCCGAATAGCTAAAACTATCCTCAACAGAAAGAACAGTGCTGGAGGAATATCAATACCAAATTTCAAACTCGACTATAAAGCCATAGTAATCAAAACAGCTTGCTACTGGCACAAGAACAGACCTCAGAAGCAATGAAATAGAATTGAAAACCCAGAAATGAACCTACAGACCTATAACCATTTAATCTTCAATAAAGGGGCTAAAAAAATAGAATGGAAGAAAGACAGCCTCTTCAGTAAATGGTGCTGGCTTGGTTAACTACATGTAGAAAACTAAAGCTAGATGCTTATATATCACGCTGCATGAGAATCAAGTCCAAATGGATCAAAGACATCAGAGTCAAAGCAGACACTGAAAACATTACAGGATGGAATAGGAGAAACCCTTTGTCTCCTTGGCACAGGCTGAAATTTTCTTAATAGAGACCCAGAAAGACAACAAATTAAAGAGAGGTTGGACAAAATGGGATTGCATGAAATTGTAGAGCTTCTGCATGGCAAAGGACATAGCTTGCAAGATCAATAGAAAGCCCACGGATTGGGGGAAGATCTTCACTAGCCATACAACAACGGACAAGGGTCTCATATTTAAAACATACCTGGAACTCAAAAAATTAAATCCCCCAACAACAAATCTTCAAAGAAACAATTGCCCAATAAATAAGTGGGCTAAATACTTAAAGAGAAACTTTCTCTGAAGAGGAATGAAAAAGGGCCAATACATACTTTAAGAAATGCTCAACCTCCCTAGCCATAAAAGAAATGCAAATCAAAACAACATTGAGATACCACCTCGTCCCAGGTAGAATGGCTATAATCAAGAACTCTAATAACAACAGATGCTGGAGGAGATGTGGACAGAAGTAAACCCTACTGCACTGTTGGTGGGAGTGTAAACTTGTTCAACCTCTTTGCAAAGGAGTATGGAAGTTCCTCAAAAGACTCCACATAGAGCTCACCTATGACCCAGCAATCCAACTTTTGGGCATTTACACAAATGTTCACAAACAAGACCACACTAAAGGTACCAGCACGATATGTTTATTGCAGCATTATTTACCATAGCTAAGATATGGAATCAACCCTGATGCCCCTCAGTAGATGAATGGATCAAGAAAATGCGACACACACACACACACACACACACACACACACACACACACACACACACACACACACACAATGGAATTCTATGCGTCCATCATAAAGAATGACATTGCCCCATTTGTTAGTACATGGAAAGACTTGGAAAAAATTATATTAAGTGAAGTAAGCCAGGCCCAAAGAAATATAGGTCCCATGGTTTTCCTTATTTCCAATAAATAGTATATGTCTGAATCAAGCAGAAAAGCTCAGATAAATTTATGTTAGGGAAATGAACCCTAAATATGTACTCAAATGCTGTTTTCTTTCATGCGATTGTTTCTAACACATTTATAAGATGATATCTTTGTTGCTTTGTATGTCCCTCCCCCATTGTATAACCCCTGCTTTCACTGTATTTGATGTTAGTATAATTTGTGGAGGGTAAGGGAAAAAACAAATCGTTTAAATAGGGATACAGGTGGAAATATTGCAACAATGAGATGTACAAGTCGTTATGTCGAAAACGAACTTTACAACTTTGGTTGTAAAGTTTGTGGGGGGTGATTGGAGGCTTGAATGAGGGGATAGGGGAAGGATGGGATGGGAAGGGGAAACAAAGGAGGATGCTACAATGCTTGATAAGAAATGTACTCATTATCTTGCCCATGTAATTGTTTTTTTTTTTTTAATTTAATTTAATTTTATTTGTGAACATACTGTACAGAGGAGTTACAGTTACATGGGCAGGATAATGCGTACATTTCTTACCAAGCATTGCAGCCTCCTCCTTTGTTTACCCTTCACATCCCTTCCCAGCCTCCCCCCTCCCCCCCTAATCCCAATCCTTCTCCTTCCCCCCTTCGGCCCCCCCCCACACCAACGTTGTAAAGCTCGTTTTGGACATGACAACTTGTACTTCTCATTGTTGCAACAGGTCCACCTGTATCCTTAAACAACTGGTTTTTCCCAATCTCCTCCACGAGTTATACTGACATCAAATATAGTGAAAGCAGGGGTTATACTGTGGGGGAGGGACATACAAAGCAACAAAGAGATAATGTTATAAATGTGTTAGAAACACATGCATGAAAGAAAAAAACATTAAAATACACATTTAAGGGTTCATTTTCCTGACATCACATTATCTGACCTTTTCTGCTTGACTCATACATATACTAGATATTACAAATAAGGGAAACCATGGGACCTACGTTTCTTTGGGCCTGGCTTACTTCACTTAATATAATTTTTTCCAAGTTTTTCCATTTCCTAACAAATGGGGCAATGTCATTCGTTCTGATGGAGGCATAGAATTCCATTGTGTATATATACCACATTTTCCTGATCCATTCACCTACTGAGGGGCATCTGGGTTGGTTCCATATCTTAGCTATGGTAAATAATGCTGCAATAAACATAGTTGTGCTGGTAGCTTTAGTGTGGTCTTGTTTGTAAACATTAGGGTAAATGCCCAAAAGTGGGATTGCTGGGTCATAGGGGAGCTCTATGTGAAGTCTTTTGAGGAACCTCCATACTGCTTTCCAAAGTGGTTGAACAAGTTTACATTCCCACCAACAATGAAGTAAGGTTCCTTTCTGTCCACATCCCCTCCAGCATCTGTTGTTGTTAGAGTTCTTGATTTTTGCCATTCTAACTGGAGTGAGGTGATATCTCAATGTTGTTTTGATTTGCATTTCTTTTATGGCTAGGGATGTTGAACATTTCTTCATGTGTCTATTGGCCATCCTTCTTTCTTCTTCAGAGAAATTTCTCTTTAAGTCTTTCGCCCACTTATTTATTGGGCAGTTGTTTCTTTGAGGATTTGTTTTTGGGGGGTTTAATATTTTGAGTTCCAAGTATATTTTAGATATGAGACCCTTGTCCGTTGTATGGCTAGTAACGATATTCTCCCAATCCGTGGGCTTTCTATTGATCTTGCTAGCTATGTCATTTGCCCTGCAGAAGCTCCGCAACTTTATGCAATCCCATTTGTCCAACCTTTCTTTGATTTGTTGTGTTTCTGGGTCTCTATTCAGAAAATTTCGGCCTGAGCCAAGGAGACCTAGTGTTTCTCCTATTCCATCCTGTAATGTTTTCAGAGTGTCTGCTTTGAGTTCAAGGTCTTTGATCCATTTGGAGTTGATTCTGGTGCAGGGTGATATATAAGGATCTCGCTTAAGTTTTCTACGTGTAGTTAACCAATTTTGCCAGCACCATTTACTGAAGAGGTTGTCTTTCTTCCATTCTATTGTTTTAGCTCCCCTCCCTTATCGAAGATTAGATGGCTATAGGTCTGTAGGTTCATTTCTGGGTTTTCAATTCTATTCCATTGGTCCTGAGGTCTGTTCTTATGCCAATACCATGCTGTTTTGATTACTATGGCTTTATAGTAGAGTTTGAAGTTTGGTATTGATATTCCTCCAGCAGTGTTCTTTCCATTCAGGAGCGTTTTTGCTATTCGGTTGCCAATGTAATTGTAACCCCTTTGTACAGTATTTTCACAATAAAAACAAATAATAATCTAGAAAAAAAATAATTACAATCACCATTACTATGCCAAGAAGCTAGGCTTAACACCTTTATAACTTTTAAAAACATCCTAATTGTAGAACATCATTGAAAGCAAGTTACATTATACAAATAAACTTTTTAACCCTCTTTTTGAAGGCCATTTTAATTTTAATTTTAACACATACAAGGGGCAGTTTTGGCAATACTAATCAGATCATCACATCACTCATTTTAACCATCGTGTTTTCAGGGTCTATCTTCAGGGAAAAGGGACAGAACAAAGATGGGCAACTCAGCCCCTCCTATGGAATGTGCCTGCACCCAATCTGACTCTTTAAGGTTAGATGAACTGCGTTTGTGCCAGCTTGCCCTCTTTTACCATGTGTGGACTCCTCCCAGCGCCAGTCCCACCATCTATGAAGCACCCCCCCCCCTGGGTCGGTCCCACTACGCATGACCAGCTTAACTACACTTCTGCCTATTCAGCCTCACCCCTAAATATAGATCTTAGGTAGTCTTCTAAATTTTCCCTTTTTTGGGGGGTAGGGAGGTTTGAATAAAATACAGTTTTAGACAGACAGAACATGTCATGTTTTGTAACAGTGCTAAATTTACCTTTCCATTTAAATTTTTAATATTTACCCTGAAATTTTAGCCAAGGGAACTAAATCCCAAACTGCCAAAGCATTTAGAAATATTAAAATTTAAAATAACAGATTTTCTAATTTTTACGTTAAAGAATCCTTAAAAAGCCATTTAAAACAATGTGAAAGTTTTTTAAATTTTTAGTAATGTCTAAACCTCTTAACCTTTTACATTTTAAACTTAAATTCACCCACTTTTTACAGCATGTTGACAATTTTTATCTTGAACATGTTTACAAACACATAGAAAACACACAGATCTTAAAGCATGCATAAATCAAAATCAGTTTTACATAGATTTTTTCAAAGTTTTTTTAACAAAAATTTAAGACAGTATTTTTTTAAACTAAGTACCTTTGTTAAGCTTCATTTTCCCAGGGCTCGCTTGTTTAGCAAGGCAATTCATCAACGGATCTTTTGAATCCCACCTGTTAGAGAAGGGCTGGTTGAAGGGGTCACCTAAAACTAAACTGGCCTGAATTTTATCCAATTTTAGACAAGAGCACTTTACAAATTGTTACATTGTCAGGACTCGCTGAAAAATCCAAACCAGGTACATAGCCTTCCACACTCTCTGCTCAGGCAGCCTCCACAAGGAGAAAATTCAGCCCAACACCTGAAAGGAACCAGACTAGTCCAGCAACCTTACATACCTCACAGTGACGTGAGCCTAGCAGGTCTGTGGCTGAGCCCAGCCAGAGGCTAGAACTTTTATT